ATTTGCTTTATCCCGAAGCTCGCTGAGTTCGCTCGCTGATTCGCGGGAAACGCTCGGCAGATTATATAACGCGGATACATGCATCTCGACTAATCGGCGCTTATTTTCGTACCTCGACTCAAGGGCCTTCCACGCAAGTTCAAAGTTATCCGCGGTTACTGGGATGCTTCGAATAGATTCAAGCGCCCGCCCGGCGAGGCTTGATGAGAGAAAATGCATTCGCGCGAATGCAGAAAGTTCGGGATTTTTAATGATGAGGGACGTAAAGCGATCGCGGAACGTCTCCCATTCTTCATATTTCCCTGAGAATGGCGGAATGTTGATGGGCGGCAGATGCGCCAGTGAGAATGAGGAGGCAGGCGGCCCATGACTGCACGCGGCGCCCGGAGCCTGGTTCGCTGTCAGAGGCGGCGGCGTTGGCGCGAGTGCCTCCAGAGATTCGGCCATGTAATCCAACGTCGTCAAGTGGATGTCCTCGGCCTGATCGAACAGTTCGCTTTGAAAATAGTCGAACGTGCTTCTCTTCGCTTCCGGAATAACTTGCAAGAGGGCCGAGTGCACGCGAACGCATTGCGTCCAGACTTTTTTGGAGCTAGCGATTCGCGCTCGGACCTTTGCAGCGGTGTAATTATTCCTTCCGAGTTTTTTGAAGTTATCGAGCGCTCGTGTGATGGAGTGCATCAACACCTGCTGTTGAGCCAGGAGGTCGTTGATGGTAGCTGAGACTTCCGGCACGGCAGTCATGTTAACGGCTGAAGGGCTGCGCTGAATATCTCGATCCGGCTCGAAGGACCAATTTATGTTCGGGCGCGTAATAAACGCGTCGAACGAATCGCCGAATCCGTTCCGCGAGAACGCGAAATAATTGCGAGTGGCTTCGTTCAGCCCTTTAACTATGAGACGACCGGGGTTTCAGTTGAACGCGGACTCGATAGCTTGTTTGGAAGTTGAGTGGAAGGCCCAAAAGATAGCAATTGATTTATAATACATATATAAACTTTATTCGATGTATCAAAACAAAACTTACGAAACGCGAGGTTTACAGATAAATTAGTGCGAATGCACTCGGCGCGCTGTGCCTTGTAATGTTCGAAGCGCGGTGTTACATAAAGAACGATCTTATCGAAACGCGGGTTAACATAAAGTGCGAATTTCCCGAAACGCAGTTTTATCCTATTTTATACTCCTTCGGCGCGGTCCGTGATGTTGTATTTGCACGCGGGCGGGAACGCGATCGGTACGTGCGAATACCCGGGGTAATGGCTACGAGAACCCTCGCTACGAGGCTGAGTACACTCGACCTCGCTGAACCATGGCCGTCGGGAGTAAGTTGGATGGAGTTCGGGAACACTCTGAGAACCCTCAGTAGAGGCTCGGAACACCGGACCTCCTTTTGCGTGTACCCTGGGATATTGGATGGGGTAGGCTTCGTCGAAGGCAGCAGAGAGCCGGAGCTAAGACGAAGTCCTGGCTCCTGTCGGAGCGCCGACTTATATACCGCGGCGCGGCGGGTTCGTTGGAAGGGAGGCCGGTGGTCGGGCGAGCCGCGTGGGGATGCTGACGCGCGCTCGCCTTCGGCGCGGCTCGGCTTCTTCCGGCGGTTCCGAACTTATCGAGTATTTCGCGTGAGAAGCAAACGAAACGTATATCGCAGTACATATAACGGTTTAAGATATAATTTTTACATTGCTAAATTGGGGGAATCCCTAACACATGCAAATTTATATTCAAGTGAAATTCAACGATATTTGTATAGATTATGCATTTTTATTATATAAATATACAATATTATTTTTAACCATTGCGCTTTTTTTTATCTAAGACTAACATTTTAAATGTACACGGTATGTGTCGATATGTGATTTAGTTCCTAGCGTAGGGTGTCCTATGTCAGAGGGCGCCACTAACGATGGTCACGCGAAATACATGGGAGTTTATAGGCCTTGGTCTCACCGACCACACCGATCCTGAACTCTCGCATCCGCTTATCCAAAGCCAGTCAGAAACGAAGGTAGAACGCCCCCGGCATTCTCTGTCTTCGCCGAATGCGTCTCAGCTAACGACCAGCTACATCCATCCAAAAGCCAGTCCGAAACGAAGGTAGAGCGCCTCCGGCATTCTCTGTCTTCGCCGAGTGCGTCTCGGCTAACGACCAGCTGCATCCATCCAAAAGCCAGTCCGAAACGAAGGTAGAGCGCCTCCGGCATTCTCTGTCTTCGCCGAGTGCGTCTCGGGTGACGACCATCATGCAGCTTCACCTCTCGACGCTTGCAGTCGGCCTCCACCGAACGCTTCTCGGTGGCCGGACTCGCGCCGTTTTCCCTCGAGCTAGCCGCTCGTAGCCACCGCCGAGCGCTTCTCGGTGGTCGATCTCGCGCTAGCTCGATTCAGCCGCCTACCGCGCCGGATTACCACGATCTCGTCCGCGTTTCGCGCTTCACGCTCCGCGAGCAGCCGTGCCGCGATCCGGCCTTATATTGTATAAATCTCGGCTACCATCGCACCCGCGATTGGAACCATTGTAAAGACCCCGCGCCGCCACGATATTCTCTGCGAATATTTCCGCCGGAGTCTTTGTCGCTCCACCCGCAACCCGAGCCTTTGTAAATATCCCGCGCCATCACTATATTCACTGAAATCGTTACGACGCTTGCATGGTGGAAGAACACAGGTGTGCTCATACTCGTGACGAATTTCATACGGTTCTGCGCAGATGCCAGATGCAACCATTTTTAAGTGTCAGTTTCAAAACATTTAAGGTTGTACCAAGTGATATTGTGACATATCATCATGAGTACGTGTTCAATAAAAACGTGTAAAAACGATTCTCGAAAGAATTCAAAAAATATTCATTTTTTTCGGAACCCCAACAGAATTATTGATTAATCCAGATAACGACTGGATTAATCATATTTCT